GCTACCCTGGCTGGTCCTTTAATACCAATCCCAGCAACATGTGATGCTACCCTGGCTGGTCCTTTAATACCAATCCCAGCAACATGTGATAATACCCTGGCTGATCCTTTAATACCAATCCCAGCAACATGTGATACTACCCTGGCTGGTCCTTTAATGCCAATCCCAGCAGCATGTGATACTACCTTGGCTGGTCCTGTAATACCAATCCCAACAGCATGTAATACTATCCTGACTGGTCCTTTAATACCAATCCCAGCAGCATGTGATACTATCCTGGCTGGTTCTTTAATACCAACCCTAAAATCGACATGGAAAACACCATCTTCCCAGACCACTGTATAGAGGGCTCTAGTCGTTACTTAAAATTTTCAATAACGACAAGTTAGTGTTTACACATAGTTACTCATATCCCAGTGACACAATGGTAATAATGTATAGAGGGCGCTAGTCATTACTGAACGTTTTCAATTTGAACAAATAGAACTGGACAGTCAGTATATCATTGCTCTAGTTTTATAGTGTTGTTTGAACAAACAAAACTGTACAGTTACTCCTTTAGTTTTGTAGTGTTATTTAAACAAACAAAACTGTACAGTCTGTACATCACTCCTCTAGTTTTGTAGTGTTATTTAAACAAACAAAACTGTACAGTCTGTACATCACTCCTCTAGTTTTGTAGTGTTATTTAAACAAACAAAACTGTACAGTCTGTACATCACTCCTCTAGTTTTGTAGTGTTATTTAAACAAACAAAGCTGTACATCACTTCTCTAGTTTTGTAGTGTTATTTAAACAAACAAAGCTGTACATCACTCCTCTAGTTTTGTAGTGTATTTAAACAAACAAAACTGTACAGTTACTCCTCTAGTTTTGTAGTGTTATTTAAACAAACAAAACTGTACAGTTACTCCTCTAGTTTTGTAGTGTTATCTAAACAAACAAAACTGTACAGTCTGTACATCACTCCTCTAGTTTGTAGTGTTATTTAAACAAACAAAACTGTACAGTCTGTACATCACTCCTCTAGTTTTGTAGTGTTATTTAAACAAACAAAACTGTACAGTCCATACATCATTCCTCTAGTTTTGTAGTGTTATTTAAACAAACAAAACTGTACAGTCCATACATCATTCCTCTAGTTTTGTAGTGTTATTTAAACAAACAAAACTGTACAGTCACTCTTCTAGTTTTGTAGTGTTATTTAAACAAACAAAATTAAAATCCTGTCAGAGGTGTAGTTGTCATTGTATCTATTATCACAGCTCAAATAGAAGTAAACCAGGATCACGACAGAAGATAGGTTCCACTAAAGTTCTGCCATGTCTTGGTAGACAAGTAAAGTAAAAACTATTTAAAAAAGGAAGTAAAGATAAAGATGACATTTACATCATCCCTACATAATAGAACAGACATGAACTAATATATATATATACAACTATTAAATCACAATTAAGTTTAATTTCTACTACTTTAATGCAGTGTGTCAATACACATATGAAGGATGTACTTATAACCAAGTTCTAAATACAATGAGGTTCCAATAGTAGTATTTATTGTTTATCTAGTATTGACTGGTAATTCATGTTTCATCCTGTACTTAAGCTTTTTAAAAGAACACCAAATTGTTGTAAGAAAGCTAAGTTCAAGGCGTAATGATAACATCGTTTATACTAGAATTATGAATTTTTTAAAATTTCCAATAGTTATTAATAATACTTATAAAAGTGGATACTCCGTTTGAAATTATGTCACCTCAGTGAAATTGTTTGACGCCATTGTTTTAGTTTTTGAGTTATCATGTAATAAAAAAGAAGCGGCGGAAAGAAGAACAAGAATTTTAACTTTTTGCTATGATATTTACAGACATTCCCAGAACTTGTGACTCTGTCATTACATAGATATTGTTATAACAGGAAACACTGTATAGCATTGTAAAGTTCTGATGACATATTGAGGAGATATTTAAAATATTTTGATGAACAATCCGAGCCATCCCTATACAGGCAGTGATACAGCCTGCCTGATACACAAGTTCGCTTACATCATACGTTCCTAGGTAATAATGTGTATAATAATTACTATATTAGTGCCATCTTCAAAACGTGACTCTGATATGCAATGAAACTAGTTTATCTTTACGTGCGAATTACTATTTTTTGTCAACAAAAACTTTTAAATAATATTTTGAGCTCGTAACACGAGCTTTGATCAACTATATCAGAATTTAATTGGGCGATCTACACGTTGTTTTACTTGTATGTTATTATACAAGCTTTATACTCATTTATCTATGCTTATCAAATACATCTGTAGAAACTAAAACAACGTATACATTGTCCAATTGAGTTCCATTATAAGTTTTCTCCATTCGTTGTGTTGACGACCTCGATATAGGGTTGAAAAACTGTCAAATAAAAGATTCTGAAAGTTTTGTTTCGTTGAATATTCGCGTAAAGCTATTCGAGGGCTATCTGCGCCAGCCATCCCTAATTTTGAAGTGATAGACTAGAGGGAAGGCAGCTAGTTAGCACCACCCACCGCCAACTCTTGAGCTACACTTTACGAACGAATAATAAGATTTTCACGTTATAAACCCCCCACGGTTAAAAGGGCCAGGACGTTCGCCGACAGAATATGATTGATTCCGAGACCTTCACCACCTGGCTATGCTAGGTCGATTGACTACTTTACAATGTTGTTGTGTTAAGAAGGAACACATTAAGAAACATATTTTTTTTCTAAAATCATTGAGAAAAATAGTCGTAATATCGCCTCCTCATATCCACAATTCTAATATAGAATAAGTTTTATATCAGGCTTAATGTAATTCTTATTATACATTTCCGGTAGTAGCTATACTTTATTTGCATATTTCAGCTTTTATTACGAACATACCAATTATTTTAAGGTAATTATTATTATTATAAAATTAAGCCGTTTAATGCTTTCTGATTTCAGAAAGAATATCTTTTTTTTTTGGAAATAACCGCTTAGACAAAAATGGTAAGATTATGTATTTTAAAAAATACAATCCTATATAGTATATGTTAGGCATGACAACAAACAAGAAATAACTATATTAGACCTCCCACCCTCTGATGCACTCCACGTGAGTCAGCCTACATGAGATTACAAACTCCCCACGCCTTGCATTCTCGTCCCCCAAACGTCGTAGTAACGACTCAGGAATTTGTGGCCTACTATGAAAACAGCGATAATCCGACCGCAAGTATCCTATTTCCTGTGACGTACTTCCTCCCGTATATGTGAAGAAAAGTAGCAACAAATATCTAAATCACGAAACTGATTTCAATTGTTACTACTGTTTCTTTTGGATGTCTTTTTATCAAACAGATGTTGCTCAGACTTTGTGACGTCATATATAGGAAAAGCATTGAGTAACTTCTTTCTACAAAACTTTAAATGTTGTTTGAATGACGTAAGGAGATGACACTCATCTATTAATTTTAACATTCATTACACAACACAGGTTTCATCTAATGAACATGACTAGTGAAACAACACTTGACTCATGACATATAACAGGTTTCATGTAATGATCAAGTCTCCTGAAACAGCACAGGTTTTATGTAACGACCAACTCTGATGGAAATAACACAGGTTTCATATAATGAGCAAGTCTGACGAAACGATACAGGTTTCAGGTAATGACCAAGTCTCATGAAACAGCACAGGTTTTATGTAACGACCAACTCTGATGGAAATAACACAGGTTTCATATAATGAG